TAANCAAAATTCCGTTCCGCATGAAGCAAATTTCTCTCTAAACAACACCCTATAGAAAAAAATTAGGCTCTGCAGCACTCTCTGTCGCTACCACTGACAGAAATTAACTCACGGCTGAAAATCAATTTCAAGTAAGGCTCGCTGCAAATGATAAGGATGCAGCAACTGCTCTTTTAAAATTCGCCACACTGTCGTATGAAAGTAGCCAACGTTCCCTGCTATTTCCCGAGTAATACTTTGGAAGCTGTCTTCCATGAACAATGTAGGGTGTACATTGCCTGTTTCTCGCAATCTCTATACCCTATTTAAGATAGTTGGCAAGTGTGGAAATTTTCGCTCAGGATGTCGATGGTTGTACAACTCGATTGTTTCATTAATGTTGTATTCACATTCACCGTAGATCAAGATCATATCACAAAGTTCTGAGGTACTAAACGCCTTTGTAATAATAGTGAGTGGCTCACTGACCTAATAGCGAATAAGCGATTGATAACGCTAAAAGGACAAATAACTTTTACAGTAGGGCCGCAGCAACCTAAATTACACTTTATCTAATCTGACAAATAACAAAGAATCCATGAGCAAAAAAGTACAAAAGAAATACAACACCAATGCTGCTAATTACAACCTTATTGAACGCGATGTTGCGTTATAGTATTGATATAACACGGCCGGAATTGAATTTACTTGTACATTCAACTGCGTTTTTTTCGAAAACGTTGAACTTTCGAACATACAAACTTAATTAATTCTCATGTTTTATAGTGCGTTAACAGTTTTTCAATTATATTAAATCTAAATTTTAACAATGTTCTGATATGAAACTAGATAATAAACTATCCTTACACAATCTACTGCAAAGTCATGGAATCAAGTCGAAAGTTTCGCAAATACTGTGTAAAGCCTATAGATCAATAATTTAGTTTCGTCATCACAAGGTCGTTAAGTCGAAAGCCGCACTTCCGTTCCTTCCTATACCGAGCAAATCATCGCATTTATCGAAAACTAAATCGTTTCCTATCGCTAATATACATGAATGTATGTATGAATGAACTTTTCTGTTCATGGTATTTTCATCGTTCTTCTATAATACCACACATTTAACGTTTCTAATTTTTTCAACGTGTCACTGTTTGGTGCGGATTTTGGGTTGAAAAGATCATTGGATCATAGTTTTTCGAAAATTAAGCTATTCAAGCAGTGAACGTTACTGGTACTCGATATCGCGACATGATAACACAGTTATTTTTACCTAAATTGAGTAGTACTGATGTGGACCACGTGTAGTTTCACCGAGACGGTGCCAAATACCATACAGCCCGTAAAACAATTCATTTACTGCATATCCAATCTGCGTATTCTCTCGTTTTGGTGATAAAAACTGACCCCTACATTGTGTGAGTTAACACAATTCAATTTTTTTTTATGGGATTATTTGAACTCAAAAGTCTATGCGAACAAGCCTACAAGCACGTGTGCATTGAAGGAGGTAATTTAACGTTCCGTCAACGAAATTCAGGCACATTTGTAGAAAATGGTCATGGAAAATTTCGACAAAAGAGTGCGTATGTGCCAGCAAAGACCTGGAGAGATAGGAAAAACTAGTTTGATCTACTTAAAAAAAAAAAAACGTTGGAGTCTTGTTGAAAGGAGAGGACAATGATGATAGGTGTGGAACTACGACACATAAGTTCAGGAATGCCTGTTTTGTTAGATTCTTGTTTCAAACAGAGAAAAATTTAAGAAAAAACAAACTGATTAATTTGCGATGACGTGTAGAAACAAAAGGTATGTTTGGTGCTCTTTTCCTAGTTAGTTTATATTTTATTTTTCTTTTATTATAAAAATTCTATAACTTATAAAGCAAAAAGGGGATTCTTCTTCCATCTTTAAAAATATTTATTGTCACAAATTTGTGTCTTGCATTTTTTGCATTTTCTCTTTTGTTTAAGTTTCAAAAATAATCTTTATGACGCAGTTTTATTTTTTAGTGTTTGTTAATTTCTTAGTCTTTTTGAATTCAAGGGCGTGTTAATCTGTCCTAAATTTTTTCGTTTTAAACCATTTGGCATTAATTGATATTTATTTGTATTCTGCCACAAGTCGGGAGAAAACTATTCCTAAGATTTTTTTTTTCGTCTAAACAAGTTTAAATTGTGTAATGCTTTTGGTTCGGCTCTATTTACGCTTAATAGTTGGGGAAAGTCCAAGTCAGATTGGTAGTTATCAGACATTTTCATCCGACGTATAGGGTGAGAGACTATGCGTCCATTCAACTTTAGCTGGGGGAGATTTATCTGTCCCAAGGAATTTCCAGTACCCAGCTGTATTAAAATATTCTTCAGTTTTGAAATGAAAAGAATGCATGTGAGATGTGGTGGGGATTTCCCTAGTGTACTAATTAAATTTTACTAAAAAATTGATGCCTATTTTAACAGCATTAACACCCTGCGGAATATCTTTTTTGTTTTTGTAACAATAAAACTAAATTTTGATTGTGTTTGAAACGCGCCTTTTTTTGGAACCTCTTACCCTTCCTCGTGTGAAATATATTCCTTCGTATGTATCAAATTTATACTTTTGACATTACCCGGGTTTACCTTACTACAACCCTTTACTTGCTCTAACCGTATTCGTAATTCTGGGTGTACTAATATTTAAAACCATAAAAATATGTCATATATAAATGTTTAATTTCTAATATATTATATTTCATGCTTTTACTGCATACTGGTGGGCTTGATTATCGATTCTAGAAAACTTAAGGCGATTATAAGTAAACCCAACTCAAAATGATTAAGGTCATCGTGGTCATCAGCAGATATCCACGTATCATGTCACATTAGACACCGATGTATAGCTCCATATGTTACTAATACTGACATCAAAGGACAATGCCAACCATTGGTACAAATCATTTGTTTGTATCTGTCATAACCGTTTTCATAAACAATACACACAGAATAAGAGAACACTTATGGTAGATAGGCGACTATATTCACTTGTTTCGAAGTGCACTTACACGATGAAACACTTTCGAGCTTTTGTTACAATTACTCCAGTTTCAAATAATGCTTTCAGCACAATTTTTAATGAAAATTGTCACTGCACATATCTCTATTGGAAACCGTTTAACAAAAGACATTCCTTTTCTACTTTTACATCGTCCGTGTATGCACCATACTATAGGTACGAGGGTTGTATTTAAAGTTCTGGGAGTTTAGCTATAATTTTTATTATTTTGTTGATTTTCGTCAATATTTCAATGTAGTTTTTCAACATAATTTCCATTTATTTCTTTTAAGCCGTCCTCAAAGAATTTTTTCGGAGTCTCCTCAATCTATTTATGGCACGTTTTACGTCAGTTCAAATGGAACACCTCGTAAAGTTTTTTTCAAATCTGGGAAAAGATGATAATCACTGGGTGCAAGATCCGGGAAATAAGTTGAGTGCGGAAGCAATTCGCAGCGTAAATCGTTCAAAACATCCTTCGTTTTTCTTGCGGTGTGTGGTCTTGCATTATCCTGTTGTAATAACGGACAATTATGCAACTTTTCAGGTCGTTTTTGACGTGACGTCTTATAATTCAATGGAGACGGCTGCACGCACGAAAAAACATGACTCATGCGGCGTTACCTCGCTCGAAGGCGTTCCATTTAAGGCTTGAAGTGCAAGCGAGAGCGCGAAACGAGCGACAAAGAGGCACAATCGGCCTCCGCGTTCGGCAGCGTTTGACATCTGTCTCTCTCCTACTTGAGTGAGCGATGCGTCCGCGTGGACAGCTGCTATACAATAATACATTTCCATTTACCTCCTTCTCTATATCCATACAAAATATGTATCAAACAAATAAAATTAAAATTTTCTTTTGAAAAATGAAACCATTCCATCAGTATTTTCTTATGACGTTGTCACGTTCAACTATCGTCAGTTAACCGACTTTACAGACAACCGATTTTTTGACAAGTGGCTGTCACAGTGGTATGATATTAAATTCGAATAATATTCTGCGTTAATTGTAGTACCTTTCGCCAGATAATCCATAAAAATAATCTCTTCGCTATCCCAGAATACTCTAAGCATTACTTTTCCGACAGACGGAACTTCACGCGCCTTCAGTGCAGGCCCTTTTTCAGGTTTGGGCCATTCTTTGGATTGACTTTTGGTCTCAGCATTGATATAAGGAATCCACGTTTCGTCAATGGCTACTTTTCGTTGACAAAATTCATCATCATAACGGACCAACAGCTCTTGAAGTTGACGACAAGTATCAGATCTATTGAGTATCCGTTCTGGTCCCAACAACCTTTGCACCCAGCGTCCCAAAACCTTGCCAACGGTTGTCATGAACTTGTACCTATGCGTAGGCGCATACTAATTTGACGAATAGTCTGTCCTCTTTCAGTAGGTCTTCGACGGCAGTAATGTTTCTTTCATTTACAATAATTTTGGATTCTGAATAATTTCTGATGTTTTTACACCTTTTTTCCACAAAAAGAAAATTATTACTATTTGCGATTTTGCGGCGTCTTCCATGGTTCAATTGAACACCTAGTTCAGACTGAACAACATTGCACTAGATTGTTACATAAACATGTCAAGATTTACTGATTTTTCTTCCGGGCTTTTTGGCCGTGGTCCGTGGAATCTTACTTTTCGAAACGTTTCGCCGTTCTTTTCTGACGGCATCTTCAGTGGTGACTCTGCATCAGTTACGATTCAGCACCTGTCCAATCACCACTAAAGATGCCGCCAGTATAGAACAGCGAAACGTTTGGAAAAGTAAAATTCCACGGACCACGGCCAAAAAGCTTGGAAGAAAACACAGCATCGATATACGCCGACCGTGAAAGCCTAAGAACTACATGTAGAGACTTGTCTGGCACCAATAACATTGCCTATAAGTTCTGCGTAATTATAGTATGATTCAGAACTTTAGAAACATCCCTCGTATATGTGTGTTTTAAAATTATTACTATTAGGCAATCAATATCACTTACCCGTTGAAGCAATCAACATTATCAGGATCAATATTTGGACCCGCAAACGGCCTGTTATAACCATGATGGTGATTCGGTCACACGGTCGCTTTAATTTTACATCAGTTCTGTTTTATTTGATTGTCTGAAACAAAACACTCTTATTGATGAAAAAAGAAGAATAAAAATGAAAACCTCAACTATTACAAAAAATTCCTACAAAGTTAAAAGAGAAAGTTGAATAAATGGTTTTCGCAAACTTATATCGACAAAACAAAACTTTCAAATAACCATATTTTATTGCTCTATAAAATCCACCGCAAATCAAAAGGGACAAGTGAGCAATTGTTGAAAAACTAAAACTATTTTGTTACTAGTCCTAACAAATCTGCCATTTGCGAAAGGATATTTAGAAAAAAAAACAGGTGCAACCCAGTACACGTGAAAGAAGTGAAACTTCTTTGGCGATCTCTATACCTTTGTAATGAAATAAATAATGATTTGGTGAAAGAGAGAGTACGAGAAATTTCAGGATTTATGTTTTCCAATATATCTTATGTTTACGTTTTTATGTAATTCAATAACAAAAAAATGGTCGCTTCCGTTTATTTTTCCAAGTGCTTAAGAAACCGTAAACTATCAATAACTACAAGGAATTAGAATTAATACATAATAATACTCACTCTTAAATAAATATTAATTGTTAAATAAACATTTACTGTAATACACTTACTGTAACTTCACAGATATAACCAAAAAATTAATTTAGCACTATAGTATAGGATATGCGCATGCCCGCTTTTCTATTCTCATAGCCTATCGCTTCGTGAGACGAAACGTTGCAAAGCGTGTCGTTTCATGGCTTTTAGATTTTACTCTCATCGATACCAAAGAAGTTTCACTTCAATAAAAGAACGCTTTATAAAATAACACTTTCTCCGTCTTACAATGAACCAACGAACTATATACTTATTTTCTGTTCCCATACTATTTGCATGTTGAAACAGCAAATAGCAAATTTTAACTTTTACTACAAGTGGTGACGCGTGAGCATTAATTCTACAAGTAATTTCAAACAATTAGAGATATGCTCCTTCTCTTAACCTGGACGTGCCTTAACAAAATCCCAAATTCAAACTATTTGATCTCCTTTAAACTGTGTCTTACTCACGCCTAGTGTGTATTATTTCTATTCGCGCTGCTTTCCTCACGGTCACATCTCTAATCGTTTGAACATAGATGTACAGTATTCCGCAAACTGTTAAGAAATAAAACAATTACAAATACGAGGGTGGTCTGTAAAGTTTCCGAACTTAACGTGTAGTCGAGGTGACGTGGTTGCGCATCATTTTATAGGTAATCTCAAAATTTCAACTACGCGCAGTTGTTTGACTATCGTTTGAGTGAATCGGTGAGTCTTATTGTAAAAATGGAAAAGATCGAGTATCAAGCTGTCATTAAATGTTTTGACGTGACAACGTCTTATAATTTGATGGAGCCGGCTGCACGCACGAAAAAACATGACTCATGCGGCGTTACCTCGCTCTGAGGCGTTCCATTTAAGGCTTGAAGTGCAAGCGAGAGCGCGGAACGAGCGACAAAGAGGCACAATCGGCCTCCACGTTCGGCAGCGTTCGACATCTGTCTCTCTTCTACTTGAGTGAAAGAGTCCCTTTCTTAATGTTTCAAAGAGTTCTAATTAAAATCTCACAATCATAACGAGGAGTAAGCCAGAACTGGCAGAGTCTACCCTCAAAAGTTTTGAGACTGTCGAGGTTCCTAGTCCAAGTTTCCCAAATATTTCGAAATTTCTACGATTATTTGTTGTACAGCTTCGTAGGTAGTCCTTTACCATTAAGTATAGCAATAACGAAATTTAATGATTTTTACGTTGGTTGATTTTTACAATCCCTGCTCTCCAACGGTTAATTTATAAATTCCAAAAATATTCTTAAAATAAGTACTTATATGTCTGGAACACGGCTCTGTCCAGGTGCAAAACGTGTACAATAGACGGGGTGGAAAAGAAAAGGTTAGAAACGTTCGTAAAGGCATTAGAAAGACTAGGAGAACAGAGGACTATGAAAGTCAAAAAGAAATAGGCGAGATAGGTTGGTGGGACACCTTCTCAGACATGAAGGTTTAGTCAGAGACATTAAAAGCAGAAACATAAGTTTGCTTTGACGGTGATGGTAATTGATGAATGTAACGTGTCGTATTGCTGAACAGTTTTAGTGATCCATTGTACTGAGTTCTTAAAAATCCCATTGGGATAGAATAAATGAGTCGACGCAAACAAAAATAAAGTAAATAAAAAGTTAGTGTACTCACTTTTATATGATGCTTACTATAAACGAAATCAAGGAAAGTTTTTCAAGATATATGTAGGTATAAATTTTAAAAAATTCGTTTTTCCTGTCCTGATTACATAGATGGTCCACGGCCCTGTACATTCTGCAATTGTTTCGACATTTTATGCCTTTCTCAAAAAGTGCTCTTAAGGAGGGCGTTGTACGCCAAAACACTTGTAGTGTCTAGCTAAAACCCTTTGAAACATTAAAAATGTAATTCTCTCTTTTACCTCACTTGACGTTAACAAACCGGCAAATACAAAGTTTCAACGGTTGCAAGGGTTTTATCGTAAATACAACCATGAAATGAGAATTAGCTATGAATAGAAGCTGATTTAGTTCACAAATAATAATCAGTCTATAACGTTAGTTTTTGCAAATTAATTCAATGAACAATTCACATAGGCAAACTTTCAACTATAGTTCGTTCATATTCAAGGTAGACTGAATACAAACACAAATCATGTACCGTGCACGTAATTACTGATAACCGAAACATGGAACAGATCCACGTTTAAAACTAACGGCAATGTTCAATAATGTATAATATATTTGGTATCCATTAATTACCTATAATAGATATAGGGCTAGTTGGAGACACATTGGAATGTATACATATTCACTTTAATTACAAAAATTAAATCAATAAAGGTTTTATATGTTTATTGAATTTCTTATATAAAAGTATGAGAAGATATATCATGAAGCATGTAATGACTGAATGCGACTCTGGAAAACTTCAGAAAGCACGAGCATGCTTCATCTTCTTCACACAAACATACCGGGATAGGGGTAAGGAATTGGTTTAATGGTATTATTTGTACACTATGCTTCGCACAGGTGTAGTGCTGATAGTAAATATACTATAGAATGTCTTTATATACAACAATCACAGCTTTTTTTGTCATTAGACAATACAAACCGGCCGGTACCGCCGCAACCGATATGTCCCTGCTTTTAGGTTGTAATATCTTCGAAAATATTAATTTAAATTACATGCTGTAAAGGGTCATATTGATCTATATTAAATGCATAATGTATTTAAACGTACTTAATTGGATAAGAATTAATGCTGTATTGCTTAAAATCGCTTCGTAAATAAGGCATTGTTTCTCGTAAAAAGTAAAGGATCAAAAATGGTTATTGTGGATTATCCCTAAGAGATAGACATATACTATCCCGGACTTTTCTGTAGACCTTTTTAAGGTGTACAATACTGTAGTATATTATTTTGATCTATCTCGTAGGGTTCAGCCAGCGTTTGACATGTAAGCGCAAAAAATGTGTTTATGACTTCACATTACAAACCTCTAAAATTATCAGTGTTTCTCTGCTATATTATGGATGTATTATACATATAAACCTTCCTCTTGAATTACTGTATCTATTAAAAAACAACGCATTAAAATCGCTTGCGTAGTTTTAAAGATCTAAGCATACATAGGGACAGGCAGCGGGGAAAATGCGTTGCATGATTTTGTTACATAGCAACTTGCATGAAACGAACTTACCCTACTGTATGTAAAGAAGTTTCACTTCAATAATTAATTGATGTTGATTTTATTAAAATTGCTTTTTTTTATTGATACATCTCACCAAAAATGAACTAATTTCTAAATTGATTCTGAGGAGTCTCGAAGTCCCACGGCGTCTCGGGGCTTTGGTCGTGGCATGTCTCGTGTCCTGAGACAGTAAGACTGTCAAGAATTTACAAATTCAAATTTTGCTAGATAAATAAGGCTTTGGTTATTCCATTCGTTCTAACACATTTGAATTTCATACACATCAATCGACATGAAGCAATCACTTGCTATCGCAGAAATAATTTGATTATCTGCTTATGTTTATTCTGCGTTCCAAAATATTATAGCTATAATCTTGTCTCAATCAATTATATTGACTTTTTACTCGCAAGCATCATTTTAGTTTCTTATGTGTCTATTCCAACACCGTTTAATCTTAAATAGGTGAGTAGAACGGATAGTATCTGGGGTGCTATTTCTTTGAACTCAAGTACCTAGAGTTATAATATAACTGTGCAACTGTAAAGATATACAGAAAAGTTTTGTGTTTTGCAGTTCCGCAGTCCCTTTGGCCAAATACCACAGATGAAGGCAATTTTTCTATGACCGCAGGTATGTAAAGATTCTCGAAAACCGCGCAAACAATTTTAACTAAACGCACAGGATAGGAATTTTTTAGGCCCGAACTGAAATAGCAAGTCTTATTTTCAGGAAACTCAGGGAAAATTGTTTTCATGGTTCAGATAATAATTTAAAATCCCGTGTGTTTTCGGTGTTCTGCTTATGTGTAGATATTTTTATTTATTTTAATCTCAACAGACTAGTTAGCTGCAGAGTGAAGTTAATCAATCCTAGCTTGCATTAAAAATATAGAAATAAGAAAATGAAAAGCGTGTGTTAGTGTACACGCATAAGAAGTGAAACTTCTTTGGTTTGTATATTATAATAGCATTTTTTAAAACAATAGGCTTAAACTATTCCATTATCTAATTATTCAACATCAGAAAAATACTATTTTATTTCAATCAGACGTGTGGAATTTGGTTTAGTTTTGTTAAAAACTTCAATGCTTGCACCATACAAAACTGCATAGGGGAATTACAACTCAAAACAAACAAACACAATCGCATATGCAATACATATACATTACAGCGCAATCTGGTGGCAATTTGTCGAAATCAGAAGAAATTAGAATTAGTACAAGATCAATCTAGCTGCTCATATTTTTGCTCATATAATAAAATAAAATAATAAGTTTCTGAAATTAAAGA